AAGCTGAGGGAGTGTACATCTGCCAGTTAACATGGGCTTCTTTGTTTGCTGTAGTCTTGTGGGACTCGCTGGTATAAGCCCTGGTGGTTTTCTGAGATAGGTGATTTGGGGGCCCATCCTTGCGAGCCATCCTGAGGAGTTGGGGTAGCAGATGTGTTATCTAAACCTCTGCCTCCTCAGGGAGATGCTGGGAGAAGGGTTATTCCCTCCCAACTGCACTGCGTCGGGGGTCTGTGGCAAGAGCCTGCCTTGGGCTTTCCTACTCACCTTGATGCTGATATTTTCTCAGTTCCCTGATGTATCCGAATCCCTCTGCGAGTCTCAGGATTTCCCTCAGAGAGAACTGCTCTGTGTACAGTTGTGATATTCAAGGGATCCATGGAGGAGGGAAATTCAAGAGACTCTTACACTGCCATCTTGGTCCAGACCTAGATTTTTTTTTCTTTAGACGTTCGTTAATCTTTTTCTTTAAGCCTAGAAAGTTCTTCCATCTTCTTGTTTCTATTTTCTATTTTTTTCCTGATTTTTCTGTGGTATGATTTTTTTTGACTCTATAAACCCACGGAAGTTCATTTTGGAGTGTGGCCCGAGTTTATCAGGTAATTTTTTGTTCCATATTTACAAATGGTTTTTCTGGCAGCATTATCAAATAAGTGTCTCTTCCCCCTTGTGGACGATGCTGTCTATAATCAAACATACCACATTTTTATAAACACTGTTATCCATTTTGTATTATTTTGTTTCCTTAATTTCTGCTTATGCCAGTCATACTAGTTATATTATAAGGTCTTTGTAATATAGTACAATGTAAGGCCAATTTTCTGTTACTGCCTTTTAAAGAATTTGTTTTGACCTCCTCTTTTTTTTAAAGTTTTAATTTAAATTCCAGTTAACATACAGCATAATATTAGTTTCAAGTGTGCGTGATATCTTTTCCTATTTATATATTAAGATTAAATAGAGGAGTATTTTGTTGGGTCCTCAAAACCCTCCCACATCCGACATGGGTTTTAGCTGGAATACTATAAGCTTATAAATTAATTTGGGAAAAATGGGCATCTTTAGGTTTAGCTTTTCCCATATAGCAATATACAATGTATCTTTTATCTCTCTTTTTTTTTTTTTAAAGATTTTTTTTATTTGACAGAGAGAGAGTAGGCAGAGAGGCAGGCAGAGAGAGAGGAGGAAGCAGGCTCCCTGCTGAGCAGAGAGCCCGATGTGGGGCTCGATTCCAGGATGCCGGGATCATGACCTGAGTCAAAGGCAGAGGCCTTAATCCACTGAGCCACCCAGGCGCCCCTCTTTTATATCTCTTAATTCAGTTAATTCCATATACATTTCTCATGAAGATTTTTCTTAGTTAATCTGTTTTCTATTACTACTTCTCAATGGGATTTATTCATTTACTTTCTTAAATGGAAAGTTTTCAACACACATCCCTTGGATTTATCAGAATAGCATGTCTTTTAAAATTTTTAACAGGTTTTCTTTTTTTTGGTGGGGATGTGGGGCCTGGAGTATTACATTCCACTGATTTTTGTAGGTGAATTTGTACCTGCTCTTATTAATTCTGGTAACTAATTGATCCCCAAGGCCTTATTATAGTTTATTCATTTTATATAATATATTTATACATAAATATATATACTTATATTTTTATATAATATATTAGGATTATTACTTCCTCTTTTTCTTTTTGTACATATGTACATTTTCCATGTTCTATGTGACGATTCTTTCCCAGAAATAGAGAATTGAATGCACATGTTAAATTAAGGCAGGCTGAATCATTTAGATTTTGAAATGTTGCAATTAAAATAGCATGGGTAGGGTTTACAGACTTCTTCTTTATGTGAATAAAAGGCTTCCAAGAAGTGGCAGAGTAATCACAGTATATAATTTTCTGGAAGGCATTATCCCAACCAGCCACTTGCAGGTAGAATAAGATGTGTGTGGATTTGCTGCTCTGGTACTACAATTAAGCTATTACCTTTTCTTTGCTTTCAAACAGAAAGTTCTGACAAAAGCTGTGGTGCCTCCAGGGCCTCTTGGAAACCACACAATGATGCCCTTGTGTTGAGCTGTATGTTAAAAAAAGGACCATTGCTGCACTAATGAACCTGTGTCAAGATACTACTAGTTCAGTTCCCATCACTTCTAATTAGGGCTTCCAGAATTCTTTGAACCTTGCCAGGTCTCTGGCTGGGACCATTTTAATATTTCCACTCCAAAGTCTGGCTGCTAATTTTGATTTTTTTTCCTCTATAGGATTTCCCAAATCATTATGACATAGAAGTCATTGACTTTGCCTTTCATAACGGAAGCTTTCTTTTTAAAACCTTTTTTTGTTTTGAAATAATTTCAGTCTTAGAGAAGAATTGTAGTTATTATACAAGGAATCCCCATATATCCTTCACTGAGATTGCCCAATTGCTAATATTTTCCACACTTGCGTTATCATTCTCTTTCTCTGCTCTATACACACATGCGCACTTTCTTTTTTTGAACTACAAGAGATTAAATTACAGGGGCTGTCTTTTACCCCTAAATTCTTCAATGTATATTTCCTAGTAACAAGGATGTTCTCTTATATAATATTGTATAATTATCAGCATCAACACAACTTACTAAAATGTTTCCATTTGTCTTGCCCAGAATCACATAATGTATTTAAGTGGTCATGTCTTCTTAGTGTCCTTCAACATATTCCTCAGTCTCTGTCTTTCATGACCTTGAATTTGCGAAGACTATAGGTGACTTATTTTGTGGAAACTTTCTCCTAATCCTAAATCTTCAACAATTTACAAAGGTATGACCTTTAGCTTGCAATTGAGCCTCTGTTATCTTCATTTTCCTATCTAACCTGAAGACATTTACCTCCTATCTGTGATTAAAGAGCTCACACGTACAAGGGCAAAAGCATGGGGAGGAAATTGACATTTGCTGAGAGCCTGCAAAGTCTCTGGACTGGGCAGTTAATAAACATCTCATTTCATTAGCACATCCATCCTGTAGTATAAATTATTATTATTGCTATTATGCACATTTTGCAAATGAGGAAGCAGATGCTCAGAGATTGTAACCTGCCCAAAGCCACACAGTTGGAGTAGGACATTCTGCAGCCCAAATCCTCCATTTCATCACACTCTTTCTGCCAGGGCACCTACTCTATCTTGACCTTCATCCACACTTGGTTCTATATAGACCGTGACTTCTGCAGGGTCTTCTAGCCTTCCATGGAGATTATTACTGTATTACCTTTTTCCTCCATTGGAATGTGAGCAGCTCCTGAGGGGGAAACACCGTAGTTATTTATTTTGTAGTCCTGTGCCTAACTCAAAGCTTAGAATGTCAATAGTTCCTGAATGAAGACATTGGAGCATATAAAGTCTAAGAGGAATAAGAAAGGCATCTTGTGGACTCAACTGAAGTTTTCCATATTCAGGACTGTGACCACTGCCTGAGCCCTGGAGCTGGGTTCTTTTTCTCTTGTTAGGGAAACACTGACTTGCCTTGGCACCAGGAAGACATGCTCTTTTGATCCCCTCCAGACCTTATTAGCTGTGGCTTCTTAATCTTAGTTGATTAATCCTCACCACTCTGACTGTTAAGCATTGGATTGGCCAGAGTCCAATCCTGGGACCTCTTCTCTCCTCTCTCTGCATTAACCTACTTGGTATTCTCTAGTCTCAGGGCTCTAAACACAGCATGGCTACCTTAAAATTTGTATCCGGCCTGGATCTTCCTGACCTTCAGACTCATTGTCTACCTGCTTATTCTACATCTGTTCATGGATGCCTCATAAGCATCTCAAACTCAACAAGTAAAAATCGGAGTCCCGGTTTTCCTTCCACCTCAGTAAATGGAAACTTCCATCTTTCTTTGCTCAGACTGAACCTTGTAGATTCATCTTTGACTTTTTTTTTTTCTCTTATACCCACACACAACCCAGCAGAAAATTCTCTCAGATTTCAGGTGCTGGGATCATGATGCAGTGATAGTTTCTTAAGCACCTTTTGAATTTTTACTGAAAACCAAAAGAGTGCCCATCCTGAATTGTGTCTACTCAAAATTCATTTGTTGAAGCCCTAGCCCCCAGTGTAGTGGCATTTGGAAGATGGAGCTTTGGGAAGTAATTAGATTTAGATGAGGTCATGAGGATAAGGCCTTCGTGATGGAATTGATACCTTTACAGAAGAGATATCAGAAAGCTTGCTCTCTTTCTCTCTGCCCTGTGAGCACATAGCGAGAAGCAGGGTCTATAAGCCAGGAAGAGAGCTCTCACTAGAATATGACCATGGTGATACCCTGATTTCAGACTTCCAACCTCCAGAACTGTGAGAAAATAGATTTCGGTTCTGCTGTTTAAATAGTCCAATCTCTGGCATTTTTGTTATGGCAGATCAAGCCAACTAGTCACGGACCAATCTGTGTAGTGAATGGAAAAAATACCCATGGAAACCATCTTTGAGAAAACTAGAGGACAGAAAATCTCCACAAATCTTCTCTCAGAGGAAAGACATGTTTAAATAGAATTTAGATATATTCAGACATATTCAGAATTCAGACCTATTGTCTAAACCCCTACCAGCAATAGACAGTTATATAGCAGGAGTGGTAGAAAATTAGAATTGAGATTCTTAGAAATGTCTAGTGAAAAATCTCTTCTATAAACTCATAGCATAATTTTGAAGGAAAATAACTAAAAATAGAAAATGAATTGAAAGAGTAGGAACCTGGGGCAAGGGGTAAGGAAGGCTGAGAGAGGGGAGGTATGGGGAGGGGAGGGGAACTCAGGGGAAATGGATTCCAGAAGGTGGGGTCAATGCTGAGTGCAAACACAGGGCTAGATGCAGAAAACCTTCATGAACCAGTCCCCATCCTTTAATTTTTAATTAAAAAAATTTCACCATCTCATTGGAGAAATTCTGTCAGTTGTCCCCCAGACTGTCCCCCTTTTTGATTTTGTCTTTTTGCCACCTACATCTCCTGTAAACCAGATGTTAGCTGTGCACATTTGATCAGAAACAAGATCAAGTTCTTGACAGAAATACATGTACTAGTACTTGGTAAGTACAGCCTCCTGAATCACTCCAGGAAGGACACAATGTCCTGTGATGGTTTTCCCACTTCTCATGGCAGAAGACCAATCACTAGGTCCAGGGGTGACAACTTGATCCTTCCACTGTGAAGTCCTCTGTCAGCTAGCTCCTCTGACTTGTGACCACGGAGTCCAGCCACTTGCCACCAGTATGGCCAACACTGCTGTGGTCCAATCCACCTCCATCCCTCACCTGGAGTATTGCAACACTTTCCTCCCCTGCCACTGCTCCTTATTCCACGAAGGAACTGGAGTGAATCTTTAGAAATCTGGTTCCCCTCATGTTACTCTTCTGTTCAGAACTTTCCAGCCTCCTCCTAACTCACTCAGAGTAAGAGCCAATCTTTTGCACTGACATCCTGGGTCTCAGGGATCTGGGTCCCAGCTCATATTCACCAGCCCTGCCCTTCCTTGCCCCCTGCCAGCCACCAGCACTTCTGGCCTCCTCTCTGTGTCTCGAGCCTGCTAAGCATGCTCTCTGACCTGGCCTTTGTACGCACAGCTGCTTTGTCTGAAATACCCTTCCCCAGAGAGCTGCCATCTCCTGTCCCTGCCTTCTACCTAGTCTTTCTTTCAACCCCCTTCTCAGTGAGGACTTCCCCGATCGCTCTCCAGAAAATTATAACTCTTGTCTTGGTGCTGCCTCTACCCTTTGCCTGCTTTGTCTCCACAGCATATAAAACTACCGGATGCAATTTGATTTGCTTGCTCATGGAAGTATTTTCTGCCTCCACAGCTAGAACATAATTCTCCTGAAGGCGGAGACTGTATTTTGTCCTACGCCACGGCCTGGGGGTGGTTGGCGCCATTTGGTGGCTGACAAGGACCTGTGCACTCAGGACTGAAAAACCCCCAACCGAGCGGGTCCTGAGTGGACAGCGGAGGAGGACTGTTCCTGAGCGCCAAATCACAGTGTATTTTTTTAATGGTTTTTTTATGGAAATTTTGGCTACTCTTCGCTTTTGCTTTCTGCACTCACTTTCCAACATCATTCCCTGAGTAGGACTTGACTCCACTATGGAAAGTGATGTCCATGTGGCCTCCTTCATAAAATAGGTAACAAAAACCCAGCAACCCAAAGGTCTCGAAGGCCCCTGACCACAATTAGTAAGCAGGCACTGGTGTCTTTGTCCTCAAGCATCAAATATACCAAAGAGATGTGCTGGGCTCATGGTCCCGATTTTAATAATCCAAACCCCCTAAACACCATGCTTTCTTGCTTCCAACTCAAAATACTTGTCAGCGTGGCACCACACAGAGAAAAATCTGTAAATCTCACTCTGTAAAGCACTGCAGAGTCATACATATCTTCAGTCGGAGTTTTCCTTTTTATTTTTTTATGAGGCTGCGGAGGAGTGGGGCAAGGGCCTTGCGCCACAAATTCGCCAAGATTTCCTGCCATCGCCTGTCGACATCATTGGTTCTGAAAGGAACAGAGTCACCCTCATCTCCTCCTGCCTCACCAGGCTCTCACCCACCTTGCCTTCTCCTTCTCTCTGCCTTGTCCCCAGTCTCCTTTTTTCCACGTGTCTCCATGATGTTTCTAACATAGATCAGTGTAGCTTTCATCTCTGCTTTTGTTTTTCCCAGCACCCAGCCTCCTTCCACACCCAGTCCCATGAATGACGGGGGGGGGAGTGTGAGCGAGGGTCTTCCCTACCTGCTGGGACACGACGTGGGCTGGGCAGCCCCGGTCCATGCTGACACTGTCTGCATCACCCTGTGAGTTCCCACTCCTGTCTGGCCTCTTAGCTGTGTCCCATCCCCCCACTCCTGCCTGCAGTCCGCCCCACTTGCATGAATTCCTGAGGGACGTAGAGGACAAGCATCGGAAATGTCTACTTTCCACAGGTGATGCCTCCGCCATGCCCACTTAATCGTGGTTTATTTGCTGAATATTAAAATGTTCTCGGATCCACATAGGCCATCTGCTTTTCCTCCAGATACCCTGCGCCCTGGTCCATGAAGCATCTGTAGTGCTATTTCCCTGTATGTCATTAAGGATGGGGATGTGCTAATGTAAATACCAATCGGAAAGCTTGAGTCATTTTTCCAATGTTTCCATCATGCTGTTTGCTGTATTACGATTCCAAATTATTCTACTTTAGGTGCCACTTTACAGGATCGTCAGAGTCCTACTCCAATATTTGGATCCCAAATGACAGATTTAATGGCCTTCATTAATACCCCGATGATGTAGGCTTAATTTTACGGTTCACCTGTTCTTGCTGTTTACTTTCCTGAGCTTCAGCCAAGCCGAAGAAACTGTGTGAAAACAGAATCTCGTTGTCTATGAAAGAAAACGCCACCTTCCTTAGTAGAAAGGAAACCTGGATTTACGTACACTGGTACCTGAAAGGGACTCTGCATGTGGGGGTGGGGGAAGCTTCTACCCTTCTGCACTCCTCTCACCATGTCTTTCTCACACTGGATCCAAGGACATGCTTCTGCCCTTGACTGTTCTAGTTGATGAGGAGTTGTGACACTTCTGGTGTAAGATCAAAACATGTTGTTTCTTTACTTTCAACTCGAATTTTCCTGAACAGATTCTAGATGGGAAGTCCAAAAAATCTTTCCCTTGGTCTATGTCCCCAGGGACCTACCAGCCCAGCTCAGTTACCCTGAGAGGACCAGGGTAATTGATTTCTTCATAACCTCTCAGAGATATTCTTAGACAAATACTGACATGACTCCCCCTTTTCCCCTCTAGACACGGTAACACACTGCATAGGCTTCTACAAGTGGCCATCTCCCTTGCTCTCTTGGAAATTCTCCAGCACAGAATTCCCTATTTTTTTCTGATGGCTCCATAATGACCCACTGTATGGTTACACCTTAATTTATTTAGCCACTTTCCTACTGGTAGCCATTTGGGTTGCTACTTATCTTTACTTTACTCCCGAAATGCTTCAATAAAAAAACAATGAATAACTTCTTTGCACATAGGTGAAATCTGTAAGATAACTTTTTAGAAACTCTTGGGTCAAAGAGCAGGTCCAGCCTTAATGGTAATATGTAATGTCAAATTTACACTAATAGTATTCCAATGTATGCCCCCCCCACACACATACACACAAGTAATGTATACAGTTAACAAGATTTTACAAAAGGCTTGGGAATAATGTAAAGGAAATAAACCTAGTGGCCTGAAGTTAGATAATATAGTTTATGAGATATGGCTTTTTCATCTTTAGATAGTGATCCATTGAAGGAATGCTTTGCTTCCTAGCTCTCAACCTGCTGGACAGAGCAGAAACTCTCAGTGAGATGGGGGACTTGTCTTCTCCTCCCTCACCTGCCTCACATCCTCCCATCTCACTGAGCCAGAAGGGAACACAGAAGCTTTAGGTACTGCAACTCAGGGAATAGAACACATGGTATTTTTCTTATCTCTACTGAGCAAGGTCATTGAAAGGACATGACTGCCAATTGACTCCTGGGCTGGATCCACCACCTGGAGTCTCTCTCACGTCCTTTCCTGTCCTTGGAATGTGGGTTCACTTGCCTTTCCCATTCTGAGAGGCTGCTCCAAGGACATGGCCTTGAGATGGTGATGTGGTGTTGAAAACACCTTTGTGGTGTTCATGACTGAGCCCACTTAGGGTCTCTTTAGAAACTTATGATTTGGCAGGCAGGTGCGGAGATCCATTCATCTTGCCGGCATCTATGACAAGCCTCATATGTAAGTTCCCTTTGTTTATTAAACTTGCCACCTACCAACCTGGAGTGGTCTGCCTCTTTCTTCAGTTGCTCCCTGCCCTCTGGTATGGGTGCTGGTTTTAAATTGCACCTGGGAAGCTCCTGAGGGGGTTGCAAACAGCAAGCTCCATCTCCCCAGTACCAAAATCTGGCTCAACTGGAAATCAACTAGAACTGAGCTGGAGACTAAGCATGATGAGCAGGTGGGTAGCAGAAAGATTGAGAAGACCAAGGGGTCAAGAAGGCAGAAAAGGGAGAAGGAACAAAGGAGAGAGATTTCTCCCAGGAGTAGGAGGCTATATGGTACTTCTAGAGAATGCTATGGTTGGCAGCCTTTGCTCTCCTTGACTCTATGGTTTTGTAGGATGTGTGGAAAGATTCAGATTAGGACAGGTGATGTTATTCTATGGGAGCTTAAAGGCCAAGGACAATTTGTTTTGCTCTCAATCTTCTAATTTCCTTAAATGTTGCTAAAGTTCTAACAGAATTCCCATTACAATGAAAAAAATACTAAACAATACTATTTGTAATAAAAGATTGGTGTTGCAGAGTTTGCTATATCCTCGCCATATTCTATTCCATTTTCTTTCTGGGCCAGAGATAGATTCCATTTTTCTGCTTTCCTTACTACTTAGTGGGATCTTATGACTATGTTCTGGTCTGAGGAACACGGGCAGAAGTGGTAAGCACCATTTCCAGGCATGGCGCCTAACACCCTTCCCCTCTAACCCCATGAAATCACTTCTACACTTTTTGTCACCCCCACTTTTTAAAAAGAGATTTACTTATTTGTCTTAGAGAAAGAGAATGAGAATGCAGGGAGGAGGGGCAGAGGGAGAGGGAGAGAGAATCTCAAGCAGACGCCTCACTCAGCACAGAGCCCAGAGTGGGGCTTCATCTCATGACCTGAGATCATGACCTGAGTCGAAACCAAGACTCAGACATTTAACCAACTGCACTATCCAGGCACCCCCTTTTTCCTCCTTCTTGTACAACTGGAAATGAAAGACTCCAAAGCCTTAGACCATGTCAGCCTTTAGTAAAGCTAGAACACAGGATGAACTTGGGGTCCTAAATTCTGCTTGATGAGATCAAGTCAGGAGAGCCTAAATTTTGTGCCCTCACTAACCAGATATTAGCTCTCTCCTTGGATTGGTCTCTGCTGGCAAGGTTGCTGTCCCGTCCAGGTACTTCTAGGTCTTCATAAGCTTCTAAGTAAGAAGGCACAGAAGCAGGTGTAGGATTTGACTTCATTCTATAATTTCTCCCAATTTTAAATAAAAACCTTCCCTTAATTAGCAGAAGAGGTCAGATAATTCTTTGTGAAACCTCTTGAAATAAAAAAAAATATATAGAAATTTATTCCACATACTAGAATGTACTTCTGGGGGTACTAAACTCTATGCCATTTAGCCTTCAGCCCTGGGACCCCAAGGGTTACAGCCAAAGTGAGTCCTGGCTATAAGAACAACTTGTTGGCCTTTGGCATGGACAGGGGAAGAGGGGGAAAGGGAGAGTTAGGGAAGGCCAACATTCGTAGGGCACTTGTTAATACACCTGCACCTGTGTTATCTGCATTAAATGTATTTTTTCCCTTAACAACCAAATGGGGTAGGTGTCAGCCTCCTTTTATAGGAAGCTCAGACTCTGTGAAACTTCACTGACTAGATGACATGAAATTATTGATCGGTGGAAGTGGAGACCCAAAGAACACATGCAAGGGGGTCCCAAGTATCAGAAATGCAGAAAGGCTAGAGGCGGGAGGAAGGAAAGTCAGAGAAGGAGCACCTCCCCTCTGTGGACCCACCCGCTTCCCTGAAAATGTTTGCTCTGGAACAAGGCCGGCAACTCAAGAAAATTGCTTTAGCCGTTTTTATTCTCCAGGACACTTTGGCCCTTAAGGAACGTGTTCAATCAAAGAGCTTTGAGAAGACTGCATTCACTGAAGTTACCCAGTCTTTTTTATTTCTCATCACCAAAATGACAACGACAGAACCAGGTTCCATTAGTTGTGGTGTTTCAGTCCACACAGGTGTTCATTAGAGACCTTAAACATCACCATTTAAGAAGACATCAGCTTTGGGGGGAAAATACTTTTTGAAAGCAAACTTAATGAAGTCATTTCTACATAATCTGGAAGCAGAAATGTCTTTTATGATCGAATTTTTATTTCCAACATATTGACTAATGTCGGGATTATTACATGTCACAGTGAGCTGAACAGGCATATGCTTCGCTCTGAGTTGGCATAGGTGTTTTCTCGAAGGATTAAAATGGCGAAGACAGGGAGGGGTGAAATTAAATTATGCTTCTGCTTAAGTAAGAGGAATAGTGCAATATCCACGTTCTTTGCTCACAATTTTGGTTTCCAAAGGTGCATGCTCTTCCTAGTTTGCTGGTATTTGTTACCCAAAGAGGTACCATTGAAGGTGATTTGATTTATTGATGGTCAATCAGGGCTCAAGGCCCCCTAGTGGTTTCCCATGGAATAAAATTTCAACATTCATTGACGTACAGGCTCTCAATCTGGTTACTACTTACCTCCCACTTCCCAAACCTTTCTCGTACCTCCCATCCACACTTGCTGTATTCCAACCATGGAGGTTTCATTGTGTCCACCACTTCCCATCTCCCTTTGCACTTGCATTGAAATCCGAAGTGTTACCTGGTCACTCGATTGAAGGCAGGACCTCATTCCACATTGATTTACTTTCCATCACATCATTCTGTTTATGTTTTCGTGGTATGTAAGCACAATCTGAATTTATTTTTAATCTGCTTTTTGGTTTACTCAAGTATACACATCATGTGATTATTGGACTTGTCTTTGCTCACTGAGATGAGGTTAGCTCCATGACAGCTCTTAGAGGCCATGTTCCTGGAATTTTCTTTAGACCTTGGGAAATTTTATAATTGCAAATGCTAATGGTTAGCATTTCTTTACCATCTCTGCTAAGAAGTATAACTTACTAGACAAAACACTGGTAATTATTAACTGAAGTCCCATATAAAATAATGGTCTGTCTGGTTCTCCAAACTGTAACCTTTCAAGACACAAACAATCACAATGTGAAAGCTTTGAATGGAGAAGTTGCATCTGTTTAGTTCAAGGTGAACCCCAGCGTCCAGCACAGTGTCTGGTACATGACAGACATTTAATAACTACTTGTTGAAAAATTGAATAAATAAAACTGCAGGTAAGGTCACTCTTCTTGGTAAACTTGGAGGATCTAAGAGGATGAGAGAAGTGCCAGAATGCTGAAAATGGGCAATCAGTGTGAGAATTTTCAAAAAGTGGGAGAAGGTAGATTTCAAAAGTTGTAAAGTGGTGAATTTAGTGGAAATCCCAAATAAGACTTGACTTATAATATCTGACAAAAACTGCCTGTCGTCTTTAGGAACTAATTCTCAACACCTCAGGTCACACATACTATTTCCTTTTCATAAAATTAATATATTAGACTACACTAGATAGATTAGGGAAATGATGACTCTGGATTTCAGAATGGTGCTCTGCCTAAAGTAGAGCTTCATCTCAGAGTCTAAGGAGGCACCTGAGGCCTGACTGATGAGAATAATGCAGCAATTTGGCTATAATCAGTTTCTAACTCATCTTACTTAACAATTTGT